TTTTTCTTTTTGGAAGGACTGGCTTTTGAACACAGCGCCTTTCATCGCTCTACCACTTGAGCAATGGTCCCAGCTCTTTTCTGCTCTACTTATTTTTCTAATACAGCCTCACATTTTTGTCCAGGGCCAGGCTTGGACTACAATCCTCCTTATCTATGCCTCCTGCAAAGATGGGATTACAGGCATGCACCAGCTTTTTTGGTTAAGATGGAGTCTCAATACCTGAAATTACAGATATCAGCGACCACACCCAGTCTTAATTTTATGTTTTCATGCAACAAAAATTCCGTCATGAAGATTTCATAAAAAAAAAAAAAAAATCTCAGCATGAATTTCTAAGTAGGTAAGCAACAAAACGGAACATCAAGACTCATCATTTAGCACTGTCAAAGGTACTTAGATTTAATGTGGACTTATGTAATGCTCTCTAGAAAAAAGAAGAAATTTATTTTATTGTTTTGCTATAATCCATTTTGACTTTTTTTTCTTGTAGGCACTGTAAGAATTCTGGGTTTTTTGTTTATTTGGAATTTTTTGGGGGCAGTGAGATTTGAACTCGGGGTCTCAGGGTTACTAAGCAGGCGTTCTTACCACTTGAACCACTCCTCCAGCCCACTATAATCCATTTTGACTAAAATACATTTCAAAGTATTTTACAATGCCAGGATAAAGATTAATTATTACCAAATCTTTTAGACATTTCAGTTCAGTAACTCCCTTTGGATTGGGCCCCAGAGCAGTTTCAGCTACTGCTATTCTTCATAATTTATTAGTATTAACAAACAGAAAGATTCAAGTACCCTTAAATTTTAAACTGAGACAACAGGGTATATAAAGTTAATAATTAATAAGCTAAGCTTCAAGTTTTCCAAGGGAGGTTGAAAAAAAAATCATAAAAATGCCCTAACCTAACCACTAAGTAAGTAGTAAACACATTTCACTCATTTACTCAAAAGATGCACAGGGGACCTGAAATGTCTCCCTCTGAGACAGACCAAAACAATTACTTTTAACAAAATGTTAAAACAGTCCTTTCATGAAAGCTGACATTAAGAATACTACAACAGACCAAAAACAATATGCACTCTCTCTTTTTTTTGGGGGGGGAGTGGGGGGAGGACAAGGCTGAGGGGTAAGGAGGGTTGAACTCAGGGCTTGCACCTTGGGAGGCAGGTGCCCTGCCAATTCAGCCATATCCCCAACCCTACATTCTTAGTTGTACAGAAAATCTTATAAAGCCCTAACAAAATATCCTACACTCATCCTAAAGATCAGAACACTAAACTCTTTCATGATTTAAAAAAAAAGGACAACTGAGACTTAAAAGCATAATAGCAACCTATCTAGAAGATGAATATGAGAAATTATAAAGCACTTGAGAAATGTTTTATCCTACTGCTAACTGGTAAACTTTCACAATCTATTCAGGTTAACATGGGCACAGCTGCAATATGTCATATCAGCATCATTCTTAATTGTTTTATGACTTACATCTGATAAATGTTAACTCTAAAATCATTCTTACAAGAAATGAACTACTCCCCTGACATACATAAACCTTGATGAAAACAACACCAACAGTTCAAATATTCCAACATTTATAAAACAGAATCATCCTGGACTTTAGGAATAATGCTTCGAAAGCAATGACAGTATTATAAAAGACACAAAAAACAGTCATGAATTCTATTTCTTGGAAAAGTTATTTTACCATGCCTCAGTGCTGACTGTCAAGAATTCTGAAGCCATTATCCTTGCCCCAAAAAAATCCATCCATGCCAAGCACTTTTTCTTTAACGCTGTCGCAGTGTTTGCATTTTACCACCTCTGCTATCATCTAGTACAGACATTCTCATCAACAGGCCTGTGGTAGTACATTATCAGGAACTCCTCCTTCAAGAAACATGTAGAGAGAGACCACAACAACTCTCCACCACTAACATCTGAGCCATTACTTTTCTTACTGTCCCTGGGAACAATGACCGTGAAAGGTGAATAGCCCCAAAGTCTAAAGTCAGGAAGTTCTTTTTGCAGTGGCAGAGTAGCTCAGGTGGTAGAGTGTCTGCCTAGCAAATATGAGGCCCTGAGTTCAAACACCAGTACCACAAAAAAAAACAAAAACAAAGTTCTTTGTGAAAGGTGCACATAGTTTCCTTATTATTTCTGAAAACCATAAAAAGCTAATAGCAAGTGTAACATCTAAAAGATCTATTTAAATGTCCACACTGTTCTCAACAATGTAAAGTATTACAAGCATGATAAGTCAGTATCTAACTGAAAAAAAATCAATGATCTACATTATTTTGTAATGATCAAGATTGACTCTGGAGCACATTAATTTGGACTTCTAAAGAGGCCAAATGAAATAGTCATGTGTCACTGAATGACCAACAGACATTCTACCACTTATGTCAACAGGCAAATTCATGGTTGAATATCACAGTCTACTTACATAAGCCTTGATGGCATAGCCTAATACATACTTAGACCACAGGATATATCCCACTGTACATGCAGTCTGCTGTTGACTGGAAAGTCATTAGGTACTGCCTAATTGTACTGTTTTTAAAACATACATAAATAAGATTTTAACAGAATAGGCAATGCAGGGGCTGGGGCTATAACTCAGTAACGGAGCACAAGACCCTGGGTTAAATCCCCAATACCCAAAAACAAAGAAAAAAAATATGATGCAACTTCAGATTCAGAATAAACAAAATGCTATCTCCCCTCTTTTTAATAAGCAGTTGATCACAGTTGTAATATACAGGGAAAGTCCAAATAAGGAACAAATAATTGCTAATACTCTTTCCCTTTTCAGCAGTATCAAGTCAGTACAGTATTTTTTTGTAAATGGTAAACAAAGGCCAAAATAAAATTCCTGAAAAACTGCACTATTTAAACCTTTTTTTAAGCTGGGTGCTGGTGGCTTATGCCAGTAATCCTAGCTACTCAGGAGGCAGAGATCAGGAGAATCACAGTTCAAAGCCAGCCCCAGCAAATAGTTCTAAAGATCCTATCTCGAAAATACCAAACACACGCAAAAAAAAAAAACAGGCCTGGCAGAGTGGCTCAAGTGGTAGTGCCTGGTAGCAAGCATAAGGCCCTGAGTTCAAATCTCATACCACCAAAAAAAAAATTTTTTTTTTTATTTAACAGCCCACTGACCCCAATCCAGGAATGCTAAGCATGATGGGCAAGCAGTCTACCACTGAGACACATCCCCAGCTCCCTAAAAACATTTTTTATAGAAAAGAAATCCACTATTCATCTTTGGGAATTTTTAAAGATAGAAAATGTTATTGCAAAGACTGTTCACAGAAAACAGACCCGGAAGTACATTACCCTTTAATACACAAAGTCTAGTATGAGAGGAAGAAAATAAAAACTACAACTTTCTTGAATTCCTTGCTCCCTTCATTTTTTTTTTTTTTGCTTCTGAAATATATGGATTCTTTTTTTTTTTAATTTTTATTTTATTTATATGTGCATACAATGTTTGGGTCATTTCTCCACCCTTCCCTTTATTAATTATTTAATAAAATGTAAATAATTTTATTAAACTGACAATATGAAAACCTAACCTAATAACCTCAGCCCTAAAGAAGTACTCGCTAACCTTGAAACACACTAACCAATCAACACTTCCTGAAGCTCACCTGCCATCTACCCCAATTTGAGTGGGCACCAGGGGGTTTAAAACGGCTCCCACTTGCTATATCCATAAGGAAAGAATTTTATGCTCAAGTTTAAGAAAAGGGTAATTATGGGGTTGGCTCGCCTCCATAAAGTCGGCATCCAACACAGGCAGGTCTCCCGCACGTTAACAGGTGTCTAGTGAGTATCTGTCGAGGACATGGTGGAGTTTCACTACGTTAGTGCAGCACTGGGTCTCCCCACCCCCCATTCCCATCCCCTCGCACAGACAGAAGCTCGAGACCACACCATGCCCCGAAAAGCACACCCACTCCTTTTATTCATAACGAAATAACCTGGCCTTTATCTTCTCCGCTATTCCCAAAGAAAACCAGAAACAGGGTCTATCTTCAGGAACCAGAAAACGTATAGCAACTTTTCTCAAAATGAAAACTTCCACATTCCAAATATGCTGTGTGTAATCCCAGTAATCACAACTGATTATTCACCAACAGTGTATATACTGGGTTAAAAACCAGAAACGAGCCTGTGAACAACTCTAGCCGCTGTCCTCCCCTTCATCTGAGGCAGGAGGGTGCAGATGTGACATCAGCTTCGGGTGACGTCTCACTCGGGCGGTCTTTCATCCAGCATCTACTATGTGCCGGGCCCTTTAACAAAACGTCTGCCCATCACCGCCCAGTCCCCGCACAAAGCTCATCACTCGCAACCACGGTGGCCGTGGAGGGCTGCAGACGTCGCCGTGGGTACCCGTGAGGTCCGCGGCGATCCCCGGGGCGGCTCCTAGGCGCGGCAGCGACGTCAGCGAGCCGCCACCCACCACGCCCGTCGCCCATCACCACCGTGAGCGGCGGCCGCGGCGGCGCCGGGAGAAGGAACAACCTGTACGAGTGGCATGGCGCGGGGAGGGGGCCGGGCGTCGGGGCGGACGTGGGCTCGCTACGGGGAAACCCAGTCCCGACCCCAACCCGCACCTGAGAGGCCCGGAACCGCCGCCCGCCCACCCGCCCCTCGAGCCTCCTAGACGTGCGGACCCGCCGAGTTGGGCGCAGGGTCTGCGGTTCTATTTTGCACCAGCCAGGCAGTCGGTGCCTCAGCCGCCCTCCTGCAGAGAACGGGGACCGTTCCTCAGAGGAAAGCGAAGAAAAAGCAAAAGCAGGGTCGTCGGGCAGGAGGACCTCGCCCAGACCTGAAAATGGAGCCGCGGGCTCAACCCACAGCCCGCAGCGCGCGGCGGCCAGGGCCGGGCCGCGCTCCGCACTGCTTGGGACGGCAGTTCCGGGCTTTAGGCTTCGGTCCCACGGACTGCAAGGGTGCGGCATGGGGTCAGCCGCAGCACTCACCGTCGCCTTTGTCTCCGCCGCCCGCTCCGGGCCGCACCGCTCCAACGCCGGCTCCGCGGCTCCTGCAGTCAGTCTCCACGCCCGCAGCTGCGCTCCCCGCGCTCTCCGCTTCCTGGCCCCTCCCTCCCGCTCACAGGCCCGCCCGCCCGCCCAGGCTCGCGCTCGAGGGGCGGGGCTAGGGGCGGGGCGCGCTCCAGAGCGGCGGTGCCGTGCGCAGCTGCAGCTGGCCCTGAGGTCCCGCCCCAGCACGAGGCCCCGCCCCTACCCCACGGCCCCGCCTCCAGCGTGGGCCGGTGGGGTGAGCTGCGGGACCCCGCGACTTGAGTTCCGCGGGTTGAAAGGCTAGCGGCGGGCGGAGAGCCTGGGATAGAGAACGCGCCGGAAGATGGCGACCCCGGGCTGCGCGCGCGGGAGCCCCTGCCCACCTGTGTCGGGCCACCTCCTGGGCGGTGCGGAGGGGCGGGGCTGCACCGAGCTGAGCTTGCTGCGGGGCGGGGTGGGGTGGGGGAGAACTTCCCCGCCCCCTCCCCACCCCCCCCCCCGCGCCCCTCGGCTGATAGCGGTTGAAAGCTGAATGCCCCGAAATCTGCGGGTCACCGTTTTTTTTTAACGTGCGAGTCAGAATTGTTGAATCAGCCTTGCCACGGCTTCGGGCCAAGAACACCCACCTGGCACTTGAGATGTGTGACAATTACCTCTTGGACCTCCCTGACTCCTGTAGTTGTGTATTTTAAGTCGAAAAAGGAAAAAGTGAGTTTCATGAGATTATCAGTCCATACTCCACTAAAATGCCTACAAAACTTTGTCGTAGGAGAAAGGACATAATAGCACTGGAGTGAAAGGTCAAGCCTACCCTGCTCTAAGTATAATCGTGTGCATCTACCCTCGCCTCGCTATCAAGCATCTTCTTGTTCAGTCCAAAAACAAATACTCCTGAGCTCTTTATTCTCATTTTCACCTCCAATCCGTCAAGAAAGCTTAGTGGTTGTACCTTCCAAGTAAATGAGACTACTTCTCACCACATCACCGACATCAAAGCTGACCTCAACGAGATACTTCATTGGCCTGCGAGATACATGGTGTCCCAGCACACCATCAACTCAATTCAGTGTCAAAACAGGCAGAACATCCTCGTACAAGGAGAGTCAGCTCATGTCTCATCTGATCCAAGTCCACCAGCGGCTCCCTATTTCATTCATTAGAAAAGCTAAGATTTTTACAATGACCGACAAAGTCCTTGGATTTGCTTTGAATGTTCCAGACAGACTACCACTCAAGGTCTAGAACATTCTTCCCTTAAAATCCATCTTCACCTCCTTTTAACTCAAATCTTACTTTATCAATGCTACTTAGCCTAGCCACACTATTTTAAATTGCTGAAATTTCACTCCAGTCTTCAATCCTTCCTTATTTTTCCCACGACCCAACACATCTATATTATTATTCTATATTTTTATCTTTGACTGTCTGTCTTCCCCAGTTGGGATGTGTGTGTGTGTGTGTGTGTGTGTGTGTGTGTGTGTTGGTTTTGTGGTGCTCAGAATCAAACCTAAGATCTCGAACATGCTAGGCAAGCATTGTACCACTGAGCTACACTACCCAAAGCTGGGGTTTTTTTACTGTTCCATTCAAGTGAAATATTCTAAATGCCCAGAAAAAATAATTTTTAATTCCCCAAGGTAATAAAAAGTGCAAAACAGCAAAAATAGCCACTTTTTCATTTTGAATTTCCTCTTAGTCCCAATTTCTATCAGTTAATCCCAAGACCTTAGCCTACATAACATAAACATTTTGATTTTCCAGTCACCCTGAGTGCAGTGATAACCATTTGCTTGACATTTCACACAGTTTGGGGCCTGTGCTATCCTGGTATCCTATTTCACTTAATGGGAATAACATGAGAGGGTAGAGGAATTTATTGATGTGATACTCAAAGGCATACTGTTGCTAAAACTGTCCTAGGGCAAAAAAAAAAAAAAACTGAGCAAATTCCTCAACTTGATATATGTGCTCATCTTCCTGTAGTCACCTTGTTTCACTGCCGTAAGTGATAATATATCCTACCATTTATTCTTAAAGGGTAAAATTCATTAGGTGAACATACACAGATCTTTCATGTTTTATTTATTAAAAATGTGACTGAAAAGCATGATCCTCTTTTTCAGTAGAAAAAAGTCAATTAAGGACACAATTCCATTTAGATAATACTATTTGTCAGACAGTATGTGTGTAGAATTATTTGCTCAGTGTGATATTAATAAGCATGGTCTCTTTACATGTTTAGTTTATCCTTAATGATTTAAAACAATTTAAAGCTACACATTCTGTCTTACAACTCAGATCTTTAAAGAAAATTAAACTTTGCCAATTGCTGACAATGGATTTCATCAATGTCAGAGGTAGTCTGTAGGTACAGTAATACCAAAAAATATTTTTTCTAGAGTTGAGTGTTTGATGGGTCTGTACTGTCCTTAAAACTGTTACCAAGTACAATCTTGTTCCAAAAGAAGGGTAGACAATGCACGCTATTCATTACGAATTCAAATCCTGTGCATTGAAAATACTGATAAGTAAACTCAATTGTGACCGTACAAAAGAAACTGTTTTTTTTCACATTTACTAATCCATAACCCTGGGGACATACTAATCCATCACACGAAGGACAACAGGAAAGCAACATGTTGCTCTAACTTCTGATCATTACTTTAAGCTACCTCGCTGCCACACTGGCCTGATTCTGCAATTTTTTACTTACATAAATTTTCCTTTAAAACAGTTTCAAAGCAAATGAATTTTCCCTAACAGTATGCAGTTTTGAATTGCATTTCAAAACTCCATACCAGCTACTTTTTCATATTTAGAATCAGGGTCTAGCATTCAGATCCAAACTCAGCTGCATAGTTAGCTGGGTGACGCTAAGCAAAGTTCTTTCTAAACCTTCTAAACCTGTCTTTTTCCTAATTTAGTAGGAGCAGTAGTGCCTCCTACCTTGAGGGGAGCTGTGAGACATCACTGAGGGAACTGAAGTAAATTTTTAGCACTGGACTTGGCACAGGCTAAATGCTAGTAAGACAATACTAGTTATTATCATTATACAAGCATATAATTAAACTCATTGCCCTACATTTGCAATAATTCTGAGAAGATGGCTCATTAAAGGCCTCAAATAGGACAACTTGAGTTCTACACCAAGATAGTATAATATTAAATAAAAGTGAACTCTTTTTTTTGGGGCGGGGATGGGAATTGAAACTCGGGCTTTGTGCTTACAAAGCATGTGCTTTACCGCTTGAGCCATACCTCCAGCTCCCTAAAGTGAACATTTTTAAAGGGGCATTAACATTTCTTCTATCACCACAAGGTGCAAGGTACAGTAGTAGGCAACAAAGGAAGGTAAGAGAAATAAAGCCCAGACCTAGGATGGCTTTGCAGTTCAATGACAAGAGACACACATTTTGTGTGTGTGTGTGTGTGTGTGTGTGTGTGTGATGAGGTTTTATGAGTTAGGGTCTCGAGAACTATTAGCCTGGGGTGACTTCAAACCTGATCTCTGCCTCCTGAGTAGCTAGGATTACAGGCATGAGCCACTGGTGCCCCGGCAAGACATACATTTAGCACATAACTGCTTTCAAAGTAATATGGCCATATTTTCTAGTTTGTCAGGGACATCTCTAGTCCTGGCTTATTTCTTAATTGTACCCCCCTTTATCTCAGTTGTGGCCAGGTTTTAATGATAAATTATATGGCCACTTGTAGCTACAAGACCATGCAAATTGCTTGGGATACAGAAAAGGATTTATCAGTTCTGTGTAAAGCTATAGAGATTTAATGCGCTTCCTTTTTTTTTTTAATTGGTTCTGGGGATGGAAACTGGGCCTCACTTATGCTAGACAAATTCTCTACCTGAGCTACAGCCTAGCCCTTTAATTAAGTTTCTTGAAAGGACTATCTGAATTGGCCCACTGTACCTGAGAAAGAGGAAAGGCAGAGGGAAGATTTGAGTTTTATTATTTTGAGCCAAAATTACAAATGTTTTCTTTACTTGTGCTTTGAACACAGTAGCTCTATGAATGCAGTCAGGATCCCCGAGGTCTGTATTGGTCAGAAAAGGATTCTCATGGGGAAAGGAACTCAAGGCAGGTGTCTGGGAAGAAGGCAGTCGCTACTCAGATGGAAGAGGTATCTTCTGAACTATGGATACCACACTTCTGGTGGTGTAGGAGATGACTTTAGGTAGCACACTTCATTAATGGGTGAGGGCCAAGGATAGAGAGAAATAAATTAGGGTCTAGCTGCAATACATTGCCTATAATCTAATTACACTTTTGCTCCTTGACTCAAAAAAAAAAAGTTAGCCAGTGCTGGTGGCTCATGTCTGTAATCCTAGCTACTCAGGAGGCAGAGATCAGGAGGATCAAGATTTGAAGCCAGAGTAGGCTTCAAACAGCTCAGGAGTCCTATCTTGAAAATACCCAACACATGCCGGGTGCCAATGTCTCACATCTGTAATCTTAGCTACTCAGGAGACAGAGATCAGAAGAATCACAGTTTGAAGCCAGCCCAGGCAAATAGTTCACAAGACCATATCTCGAAAAAACCTATGGCAAAAAAGGGCTAGTGGAGTAGCTCAAGGTGTAGGCCCTGAGTTCAAGCCCCAGTACCGCAAAAAAGAAAGAAAATACCCAACACAAAACAGGACTGATGAAATGGCTTAAGTGATAAAGTGCCTGCCTAGGCACTAGGGCCTAGTGTGAGGTCCTGAGTTTAAGCCTCAGGATTTCAACAAAAGAAAAAATATAAGGGCTTGTAATAAAAATGCCTCTGGGGACAACCAGTGACAAGGAAGGGAGTCTTGAGAACCACTCTGCCAGGTGGTCATCAGTGACTGTGAACTTCCTTTCGTTTTTCTTTTTTTTACAGTCGACACGGATATATGGCAAGTGATACAGATTTTCCTTATATAACAGCAATCACAGTTGCCTTTATAAACTTGTTAAAATTAAAAATGAGTCAGCTTAAAGAAACCCATGCAGAAGTGATGAGGGCAATAAAGACAGGACATGGCCTTTGGAAAAGAGAAAGC